CTCTTTCCAACATTAAGCATTTATAATATCTGTAAAAACTTTATTATACAGGGTGTCCTGAAATTCGCGAATCAAAATACCATAGCAAGAAAGTTGTCGAAAAAATAAATTAAAAAATTATTTGCCATTTTTCGTTCCGAGCAATAGTTTTTTTTAGATAAAAAGGTTCAAAACAGGCCAATCATACATTACGGTAGAACGGAAACTTGTCCGTGAGTCGCGTGTCGATAGTGTTAGTGCATTAACAACGTTTGAGCGAATGAGGATGCAGGAGACGGTAGGCCGTACTCGGAAGGCATTTAAGAAAATCGATCGATGAGCAGGAGGTGGAGCGACGCGCGAGATACTATGTTTATGTTTCGGGTCGCTCGTCGCTCACGCTCGCTGCTGCGCTCTATCACCCGCGCCGCGCTCCCCGCCGCGCCTAGGTTTTTTCCCACCACGGTGTATCTCGCGCGTCGCTCCACCTCCTGCTCATCGATCGATTTTCTTAAATGCCTTCCGAGTACGGCCTACCGTCTCCTGTATCCTCATTCGCTCAAACGTGTAAATTAATTCCTCGATAACTATTGTTACTTTTGTACCGCGCCACATGACATTTCTCCTTAGTTTAACCCAATCTACCACTATTTTCAAGTTGGCTAATTTTGCATCAGACACCCTGTATAAAAAACGAAAAAAAACTAAATATTCCATTAATTTTTGGCATGTAGAGCTGTCATATGACGATAATATTTGCTTAATACAAAAGTTCTATAGTTTATATCTGCAAAATGAGACCGGAGTGACCTAGAGACAACATGCAAGAACAATATTGTGTAATTGGAACTAAGATTAAGAGTCTAGAAAAAAGATAGGTTTAAATAAAAGTTTATAAATGCAAATACAGCTGTAGAATGATAAGTAGAGCATTATTGCGTGTAGTAATAGATGCCGGATCGAATAGATGCCAATACACATGCCAATACAAGAATTTACAATTCTTGGCTTTCAGGCTTTCGCGGCTGTTGTCTTCTTTAGTCTTCATGGCTTCCGGATGGTTGCCGCGTCCGTTTGGAGTGTGGATACTCAGTATCAGAGTTTCCCAGCCCTGATGAAGCAGACTGCAACGCCTGCGAAACGTCGGCACCACACTCCAAACGGACGCGGCAACCATCCGGAAGCCATGAAGACTAATTTACAATTCTGTAAAGCCAATTAAAAGATATCCTTATATAAAAAATGTCGGTAAAACAGAGAGACTCCAGCATCCTCTTAAGGGGATGCTGGAGCGACGGGCCAACTCCGACGGGATAGCGCCCTCATCTGAACGGAATTAAAAAAATCGATAATGTCGGTAATTATCGACATTTTTAATTCCTGCATGACCATTTCTACATTACCGCAGAGAAAGAATTTCGCGACAATACTTTTTCGGCGATACTCGTACTACGCGCGCGCGAGATGTCGAGGAACTATTGTCCACGCGCCTCGTTATCTGAGGCTCGCCGCGGTGCCGCTCGCTGCCATGACAATTGTTTTTGGCATGTCACACACTGCTGCACGTCTCGCTAGCCGATCGATATTCACTGTCGCTAAGAGATCTGAGAAATAAAATGCTTTGGCGTGCCTAATCTGGCCTATCTTCTCAGTTTGACTCAATCAATTTGCATTTTTCGATTGGTTAGTTACTTGTCAGACACCCTTTGCTGCGTTCAGAAACACCACCCAAGTACCCCAGCGTATCATTCTATCCTTGTTGCTTACAGACAAGAATAAAATGATACACTAGGGCATTTGGGTGATGTTTCTGAACGCAGCCCTGCATGTACACGGAAGTGTAAAACATTATATAATACAAAATGTAATGTATACATATGTACATATGTGTACATACACGCAAAACGCAATACACAATACTGCTTATTTTAAATATGGAAAATATAAAATGAGCCCCTCCAAACGCCCATTCTCGTGAGAACGCAACCAATAAAATTTTTCCGTCTCTCCAATTCAAATATACAAATAATTGCAATGACTAGTATCATGATAAGACACATCTGATTTTTATTATATGTAGTACCATCAGAATCGATGCTCCTAGTATTAAATTTACCAGTACTATCAGAACAGACGCTTCTCAATTGTACTACAATCAGTACCGTCTGAATATATGCTTCCGGCTTAGTTTGCTAGTACCGTCAAAATAAACGTTTCACTGAGATGTGTTTTATCTCTAAAATATATTTGAAATATTAGAACTTTTATTAATACTAGACAACACAAGCGCGCGCTTTGCGCGCGCCATTTGCTCTCTCTAAAAATCCGCATGGTTTGACAGCTGCAAATAACACGACTGAAGCATGTCGTATTGCACAAACGAGACAGTCAATCAGTAAGAGCAGACGCTTCTAATTTTTATTACAATTAGTACCGTCCAACTAGACACATCTGATATGAGCGGTTCAAATATGATCGAGACAAACGCTCTGACACATTTATTTATTATCGAAAATATTTACAAAAATTTACAGTTTTTCTAGGTAATTCCCCTCACTAGTTACACATTTTTGCCACCTCTCCGGAAGCTTTTTGATGCCGGTATCGAAGAATTCCTTGGGCAACTCGGACAGCCATGTGCGCACGAACTCCTCTACCTCGTCGTCGGTGTTGAATCTTTGACCTCCGAGGGCTTCTTTCAGTGGTCCAAACATGTGGTAGTCGCAGGGTGATAAATCCGGACTATAGGGGGGGTATTCTAGTACCTCCCACCCCAATTCTGATAATGTACTACGAGCGTGAGACGCGCGGTATGAGGGCACGCGTTATCCTGGAGAAGAATCGCACTTCGCGCTGGAATGCTCCTTCGTTGAAGGTGTTCGTGGATGATAGACTCTACACTACCAATACTAATGCCGAGTTCAGCCGAAATGTTTCGAACATTCATCCTACGGTCCTCCAAAATGAGTTGTTCTACGCGGCGAATGTTGTCTGGTGTGATGCTGGTTCGCAGTCGACGATCATGCGGCTCATTCTCGATGGTTTCGCGGCCATCTTTGAACGCTTTGGCCCATTTAAAAACAGCAGACCTACTCAGGCACTCACTACCGAACTGATTTCGCAAACGCCGAAGAATTTCCGTGTTTTTAACGCCTTCCCACACCAAAAAACGAATAACAATACGTTGCGCAACGGCGGTCGGCACTTGACGTTCACTCATGGTCGTATCACGCGCGTGAAACGTGCGTTCGCGACGAAAACTATGCCACACTGTTCGTAAGGGACCCAGCTATCACATACTCAAGTCGCGACCTTCAAAACATACAGGCGTACCATCTACAGCGTTTGTCTCGATCATATTTGAACCGCCCTCGTACATATTTTCCTAGTACCATCAGAATAGATGTTTCTGGGATTTATGTACACCAGTACCGTCAGAAGAGACGCATCTGGTTTTTGTTTCTAACTACTATTTTACATGCTATCAGTACTGTATAAAAGGAGAGGAATTCCCTTAGCAGTTCGAGTTTCGCGCCCCTTTCTCTATTTCACGCGGTCATGGCCGCGAGCGGTGAGGGCGCATCGGAGAGCGAGTGGGGCCACGCGATTCGCTGATGTAATTCCTTCTTCTCGCACGAGTCGAATCGAGGCGCGCTGCGCGCTAAGTTGCATGACGACAGAGTAGTAGTACGGTTGTCACGTGGTACGGAATGTGTGTTACGGATGCTTTGCTGCTGCTTCCAACTGCCAAAAGATCTTCTTCTCTGACTACCCGACCAACTAGCTGTGATTGCGACTCGAGACATTGGACGCAGGCTTTCTGCAATTGGAGGCGATCGGGCGTCCGTCGAGCGTGCAGAGAGAGAGAGAGAGATATATTGGCCGTTTTCGCGCTAAGGCGTCCCAAAGCGAGGTTGCGGTTCCGAGCATTGCATCATCCTTCTGCCATACTGGCATCAGGTAATTCTCGGACCTTCTGGACGAGTCACACTTTTCGTCCAAGGATCACAGAGAAAGATTCGATTGGTAGGCTCTGAGGGCGATTTCTAGCCACCAATGTGATCCTTGGATTTCCAGAAGGTATTCTATACACTGCCTACATTTCTTTTCATTTCTCTGAGAGTAGTTGCGACGGTTACAGCCATCACGTGCGCAGTTCGCTGCTATAACAAGAAGGTCGTGTGGTTTCCCGCCGCAACGTACAATACATTCAGCCGTAATCTGACGAACAAACCAGACCGGCATTGATTTTACTGAGTGTACAATACATTGAGCAGGGATCCGATGAGAAACCGGATCGGCACTGATTCAACAGATTAGGCACAGAAGACATCGCTGCAAGGGCGATTGGCACTGTCATCCAGTAAGCGTCTTTCCTACTTCCCGCATCGCGGCCAGATTCAGATGGACGGAACCACTGACACGATACATTTATGCATTTCTTTTCTCATTTCTGTATTCCGACTAACCTAATATGGCATTACATGCAACATGCTCAATAGAAACGCTCGCTCATTTATGTTGTATAACGAAGTGAACCAGATTAAACCTACTGCAATTCTTTTTATTTTAGGAAGATTTATTAAAGCTTGCTCAATCCCTCATCCTCCGAGAAACGTCTCAGTACCTCACGGTACATTTCTGGTCCTTCGAGCCGGATGAGGTGATTGAACGGAAGGCAGAGGTTATCACAGAGATTATTTGGCATTCCCGCTGTGTCGAGCTTTCTATTGCGAGCACTGTTTACACTCTCTGCAGCCGTCATGCGACTTCAACACATTCAGAGTAGAATTGAGCAACAGCTCACGCTTATGGACATAATTGCAAACACGTACGACAATGTTACTAAGGTAGGCCCTTCTCATGTTACGGTACATAGGGTTCAAGCTCGTTTGGCTGCGCTCTCCGACAACTGGGACAAATTTACGCTCAATCACGACGCTATCACATTAGCGTGCTCGGAAATATCTGCTGAAGATAAGCTTCGCCTTGAGGAGCATTCATACTTTACGGACAATTTGTTTACTATGACGCACGAATGTTATTTGGAAACGGTTGAAAAGCTGAATACTCTCCTCGATTCGCGGCAAACGACCATGACCAGATCATCTTCGACACACTCGGTGTCTGAATCTGCAAGCCTACCGATGATGTTCCATCACGCACGGTTACCACGTATCAACATTCCTAAATTCGACGGATCTCCCAATGACTGGATATCATTCAAGGATCTCTTTGCGTCTCTTGTGGTTTCCAATCCGACACTTACCTCAGTCGAGAAATTACAGTACTTGAAGACCAGCTTGTTGGGATCAGCTGCTCAACTGATCAAGAATACCTCTCTGACCGCAGACAATTTCCAGAAGGCATGGAAAGCCTTGATATCTTTTTACGAGAACAGAAGACTGTTGGTTAATGCAGCTCTACACTCATTGCTTTCGTTAAAACGCATGACGAAAGAATCAGCTAATGAAATGCAGCACTTATATACGCAAATAACTCAAATTTATCGAACTTTGGAGACATTGCAATGCCCGGTCGCCAAATGGGACGATTTCCTTGTTTTCATCGCGGTTCAACGCTTGGACGCTGAGTCGGTTAAGGCTTGGGAACACCACTTGGGCTCGTCAAAGGAGCCACCCAGTTGGATTCAATTCAGCGACTTTCTTATTACACGTCTACTTTCGCTTCAGGCGTTTGAGAAGTCTCGGATCGGCAAAGCTTCAACTCAGGCTCATAAGCACTCGGCTAAGGCGTACTATCAAGGAAAGTCAGCGGATAATAATCACGCAGCTCCACGAAACCCTGCGTAATTTGCTCATCATCTCATTACCTCGCATCATGTCCACAATATACTGGAAAAACTGTACAACAACGCTTAGCGCTGCTTGTTAAATACAAGTTATGCTACAACTGTCTAGGAGGTCACAGAGTTTCAGCCTGCCGTATCGGTAAGCGCTGTCAAAAGTGCGGAAAAAAGCATCATACCACTATTCACAGAGCTAGTACCTCTCCCTCGAATTCGACTGAGAAAAGCACCAACGCAGAAGATACTGCCTCCAAACCTCAAGATGCACAAGTTAATCACTCTGCTGTAACTCATAAAACGTTTAGTATTCTTTTAGCCACGGCGCAAGTTAAAGTCATCTCGGCACATGGAGAAACTGCTAAAGTTCGAGCTTTGATAGACCAAGGATCGGAGATTTCTCTCGTTTCTGAACGATTAGTACAACGTCTGAAGCTTCCTCGGAATCATTCTACCTTATCACTCGTGGGCATTGGCGCTCAAAAGGCAAATCAAACTAAAGGCGTAACATCTTTCAAGATAGCACCGCATTATGACTCATCTATAGGTCTTACTGTATCAGCTCACATTTTGCCGAGACTTACGTCATCTGTTCCTTCACTGAAAGCAGATAGCACTTCTTGGGCTCACTTAAAAGGCATAACGCTTGCTGACCCGGACTTCTGTACACCCCAATCGATAGATCTTATATTAGGAGCTGATAGCTACAACCAGATTATTGAGGACGGATTATTAAGAGAATCGGCCGATCAACCCATTGCTCAGTTTACCAAATTAGGTTGGATAATCTCCGGACCTACTGGCTCATCTAACACATCGATTACTGCTAACGGATATCATGTATCTGTAGATCAAGAGCTCTACAATTTACTTCACCGTTTCTGGGAACTTGACAGTGTGCCGTCATCCGCTCCTCGTTTGTCACCCGAAGAACAACAGTGCGAAAGTCACTTTGCAGCGACTCACAGCAGGGATACTACGGGAAGATATATTGTTCGACTCCCGTTTAAGCATTCTACGGAAAAGCTTGGAGAATCCAAAGCTAAGGCTCATCGTATGATGACACATCTGTTAACAAAGTTGGAACGAAATCCCGGATTGGCTCACTCTTACAAACAATTCATGACGGAATACGATCAATTGCATCACATGCAGCGTGTTGCAAACTCTCAACCAGAACCTCCTCACGCCTACTACCTTCCTCATCACGGGGTATGGCGAGAAAACAGCTTGACTACTAAACTTCGAGTTGTTTTTAATGGCTCCAGCCGTACAACATCCGGATATTCATTGAACGACTTACTTCACACTGGAAAAAAACTACAGAAGGAACTCATCAATGTCCTCTTTTGGTTCCGATTATTTCGCTACGTTTTTACTGCAGACGTGGAGAAAATGTACAGGCAGATTCACGTTCATCTTGAAGATTGGGATTACCAACGGATAATTTGGATTGATGACTCGAATCATCTTGTCACGTATTGTCTTACAACCGTTACCTATGGCTTGGCGTGTGCACCATATCTGGCCCTACGCACCTTTGAACAACTAGTGCAAGACGAAGGAACGAAGTTTCCATTGGCGGTCTCTACTCTTAACAAGGGACGATATGTCGACGACGTGTTCGGTGGCGCAGATTCAATTGAGGAGGCCAGCCAGATTGTTGAACAGTTGCATCGGTTGTGTATGGCGGGTGGTTTTCCGCTTCAAAAGTGGACTAGCAATCACCAAGATGTTCTTGCCTCGATTGCGCCGGGAAAGCAGATCAACGCTACATCACTTCAAATTGAAGAAACCTTTCAGGTTAACGCTCTCGGATTAATCTGGCAACCGTCTACGGATACCTTTCATTTCACGTGGAATTTGACTGCAACCGACGTCATCACTAAACGCTCAATACTATCTATCGTTGCCAAGTTGTTTGATCCTCTTGGATTCCTCTCACCAGTTATAATTCAAGCGAAGGTTCTTATTCAGGAACTCTGGACGATCAACTTAGGTTGGGATGATCCCGTGCCCTCGCACATATCACAGAAGTGGACTCACTATCTTACACAATTCCAAGATATGCCCAACTTTTCCATACCTAGATGGATCGGATTTAAATCGGATTACAAAATGGAGATCCATGGATTTTATGACGCGTCTCAGAAAGCGATCGCAGCTGCTGTATATATTCGGACTGTAAACTCTGACGGGCATGTAAACACTACGCTCTTATCGTCTAAAACCAAAGTTGCCCCGTTGAAAAGACAGACTATACCGCGATTGGAATTAGCAGGAGCGGTTCTGTTAACTAAACTTGTATCATGTATTCTAGCGGTATACGAAATCCCTGACGTTCCTATTTATCTTTGGACGGATTCTGCGATTACTCACACGTGGCTTACGAATCATCCATCACGATGGAAAGAATTCGTTCACAATCGAGTGTGCTACGTTCAAGAGACTCTCCCTCACGCTCGATGGAATTTCGTACCTGGGAAGGACAACCCAGCAGACCTGGCTACCAGAGGTTTGACACCTAACCAATTGCTTGACGAGCTTGCCTGGTGGACAGGACCACCATGGCTGTCCGATCATTCTTCAACGTGGCCTAAAGAACCGCAGAAACCACATCAAAGCGTGCATCTGGAAGAAAAGGCGGTTCAAGTTTCTACAATCAGCACGAACATGAGTACCACACTATGGGATCTTATTCACAGATACTCTAACTTAACACGATTGAGTCGCATCACAGCCATCTGTCGACGAGTCATATCTAGATTGAGAGGAACACGCACTTCATCAATGACTCACCCGCTAGCTCCTGAAGAGTTAGAAAGCTCAATGCTTTACTGGGTAAAAGCCGTTCAGCAACTTACCTTTCACTTGGAGATAAAAGCACTGTCAAACGGCAATCCACTTCCCAAGGCCAGTTCGCTACTGCGTCTTACGCCATTCATTGATTCAGCCGGACTCATTCGCGTCGGAGGACGCCTTCACTCTGCCGCACTGTCTAATAATGCTAAGCATCCGCTAATATTACCGAAGAATTCGACCTTGACTACACTTCTGATTGCTGACGCTCATAACCGTACATTACACGGAGGGACACAAGTCACCTTGGCTTTCATACGTAACAATTATTGGATTGTTGGTGGACGGGCTCCGGTCCGCTCTTTTATTCTTAAATGCGTACGATGTTCCAGATTTCGTCAGAAGAGAGCACAGCAGCTGATGGGCCAGCTCCCAATCGAAAGAGTCACTCCGTCTAGACCTTTCTTGCATTCAGGGATTGATTACGCCGGCCCGCTGCTTATCAAAACTTGGAGGGGTCGAAACGCTCGTACATACAAAGCATACATAGCCTTATTTGTGTGTCTATCCACATCTGCCATTCACCTGGAATTTGTAACGGATTATACCGCAGATGCCTTCATTGCAGCCTATAAGAGATTCGCAGCCAGGCGTGGAATATGCGCAACTCTAACTAGTGATTGTGGATCAAATTTAAAGGGGGCTGACGAAGAACTCAAACGTCTTTTATCTTCTTCATCACAGGAATTTGGTCGACTGGCCGCTATGCTTGCAAACGATGGAACACGATGGAAATTTATCCCGCCAGCAGCTCCGCACTTTGGAGGAAAATGGGAGGCTGGCGTCCGGTCAGTTAAGAACCATGAGTTAAGAACCTGAAACGAGTTGTAGGAGATACGATACTAACGTATGAAGAAATGTCGACGTTGTTGACACAAGTCGAAGCCGTGCTCAACTCGCGACCACTGTGCCCGCTGTCTGAGGACCCCAAGGATCTCGCCGCTCTTACACCAGGGCATTTTCTTATCGGAAGCGCACTCGCGCTTATTCCTGAACCTGCACTCGAGCAAATCAAGATTTCACATCTGTCAAGATGGCAGCTTATTTCTCAGATGACACAAAGTTTCTGGTCTAGGTGGTCTTCGGAGTACCTACAGCGTCACCTTGCAATATACAAGTGGAATCGAGCCGTTCCGTCTCTAAAAGAAGGCGCCTTAGTCCTAGTCGTTGACGAAAGATACACTCCTTCCAAGTGGCCTCTTGGTAGAGTCGTCAAGACACACCCTGGCAAGGATGGCCATACACGAGTTGTCACAGTGCGTACGAGTGTCTCCACACTCAAGAGACCTATTGCCAAACTTTGTCCGCTACCAATTTCAACAGAGACCCTATAGTTCGTCAACTGGGGTTAACGAAGGCGGGCGGAATGTATAAAAGGAGAGGAGTTCCCTTAGCAGTTCGAGTTTCGCGCCCCTTTCTCTATTTCACGCGGTCATGGCCGCGAGCGGTGAGGGCGCATCGGAGAGCGAGTGGGGCCACGCGATTCGCTGATGTAATTCCTTCTTCTCGCACGAGTCGAATCGAGGCGTGCTGCGCGCTAAGTTGCATGACGACAGAGTAGTAGTACGGTTGTCACGTGGTACGGAATGTGTGTTACGGATGCTTTGCTGCTGCTTCCAACTGCCAAAAGATCTTCTTCTCTGACTACCCGACCAACTAGTTGTGATTGCGACTCGAGACATTGGACGCAGGCTTTCTGCAATTGGAGGCGATCGGGCGTCCGTCGAGCGTGCAGAGAGAGAGAGAGAGAGAGAGAGATATTGGCCGTTTTCGCGCTAAGGCGTCCCAAAGCGAGGTTGCGGTTCCGAGCATTGCATCATCCTTCTGCCATACTGGCATCAGGTAATTCTCGGACCTTCTGGACGAGTCACACTTTTCATCCAAGGATCACAGAGAAAGATTCGATTGGTAGGCGATTTCTAGCCACCAATGTGATCCTTGGATTTCCAGAAGGTATTCTATACACTGCCTACATTTCTTTTCATTTCTCTGAGAGTAGTTGCGACGGTTACAGCCATCACGTGCGCAGTTCGCTGCTATAACAAGAAGGTCGTGTGGTTTCCCGTCGCAACGTACAATACATTCAGCCGTAATCTGACGAACAAACCAGACCGGCATTGATTTTACTAAGTGTACAATACATTGAGCAGGGATCCGATGAGAAACCGGATCGGCACTGATTCAACAGATTAGGCACAGAAGACATCGCTGCAAGGGCGATTGGCACTGTCATCCAGTAAGCGTCTTTCCTACTTCCCGCATCGCGGCCAGATTCAGATGGACGGAACCACTGACACGATACATTTATGCATTTCTTTTCTCATTTCTGTATTCCGACTAACCTAATATGGCATTACATGCAACATGCTCAATAGAAACGCTCGCTCATTTATGTTGTATAACGAAGTGAACCAGATTAAACCTACTGCAATTCTTTTTATTTTAGGAAGATTTATTAAAGCTTGCTCAATCCCTCATCCTCCGAGAAACGTCTCAGTACCTCACGGTACATTTCTGAATAGAGAAAGGGGCGCGAAACTCGAACTGCTAAGGGAACTCCTCTCCTTTTATACAAGTACCGTCCATCTAGACGCATCTGATATGTACATATTTTCCCAGTACCATCGGAATAGATGTTTCTGGGATTTATGTACACCAGTACCGTCAGAAGAGACGCATCTGGTTTTTGTTTCTAACTACTATTTTACATGCTATCAGCAAAAGAATGATACATACAAATATCTGTAGAATGATACATACAAGTATTTCGTGAGCAGAAGCTAAAATTTCTGACATGATGGGCTGTGTTCCGAAACTTAGCATAAACGGTCGAACAACCTTTCTGACCACGACCGTACGTAAAACACCTTTGCGATTTATAAGTTCTGCGATCATCATTGTCAGCTAATATTTTTCTATGTAATAAAGGTATACTACCTTAGACTGTATGTTTTCCTCACAACC